TATTTAAATTCCTAGCTACGTTTTTGATGACTATCTTTTCCTAGTAGGATAAAATTATTTATATAGCTCTAAAGCAGTTTGTGGCAGGCTTTTTATGGCTAATATTTGGTTTCTGTGAATAAGAATAAGGAGCCCTGGTGTTGTGGTTACGAGTTGGATTGCGATCCACAAAGTCAGCAGTTCGAAATCACCAGCCTTTCCATAGGAGAAAGATAAGGCTTTTCATTCACATAAAGGGTTACAGTCTCAGAAACCCACAGGGGCAACGTAATGGAATCAACTCCAGTACATGAGTTTTTGTTTTTTGACTTTTTTTAAAAAATAAGAACAACCTTATAATCATAGATTTCTGTTCTTTATTTTTCCTTTCACCAAACCTATGTGGAAATAAACATTAAAGGAAAAAATACATAGAGAATGCAAATAAAAATGCAAATGAATAATAAAAATAATTAAGCAATTTGCTGGATGAAATTGAAATGAAAAAATATATAAAGAAAATAAAGAATATTAGAGAAAAGGGATGAGACAAAATGGCTTTGGGGCATAGTATTTTGACTTTCTCTTCAGAGGGAAGATAAAATTCATATACATAATTTAAATTCTAATTGGTAGGTTTGTTTTAATAGTGACTTGGGTTAGCAATTGTTAAGCTCCCATTCCACTGCCACTGAGCTGATTCTGACTCAGAGCAACACTACCAGACAGCAGCACTGCTTCATATGCTTTTCCAGACAGCATATCTCTATAGGTGTAGACTGGCTCATCGTTCTTGTCAGAGGGGCTGCTGGGTTTGAATTGCTGACCCTATCATGGATGCTGTGTTAGTCTGGGTTGCCTAGAGAAACAAATCCAGAGAGACTCTTATGTGTATAAGAAAGTGCTTTATATACAAGAGCAATTGAATATTGAGAAAAAATCCCATCCCGGTCCAGATCAAGTCCATAAGTCTGATATTAGCCCATATGTCTAATACCAATCTATAAATTCCTCTTCAGACTCACACAACACCAGCAATGACACCGAGTCCAGGAAGATCACAGGCCAGTGAGTGGAAAGTCTTGTGGATCCAGGGGTGGTAGAAGCATCCATGTGGGTCTCCATGTGGCTACCTCAGGTCCAGGGCCCTCGCTGCCATCAGCATAGCCCCATGTGTCTTGTCAGTAGAGAGTCGTTCAGGGAGTGAGAATGTGTTCCACCTCCAAGGAGCTATTTATCTCCTTAGCACATCCAAATGAGGTTATCAAGCTATGACTTGATTGACAGGCCAGACTCTACCCCTTCACTCTCAAGTCTCAAATTGACACCAGATAATGTAACTACCACAGATGCTCTGTTGGGTGCAGCAGGAGAAGGTGAGATTTACATATATAAAGCAAAAACAAATAAAATTTAGTACTCACAGATCCCATTGAGGAAACTGTACGTACCTGGATGTCTTTGTGCAGCTGCATTTATTTCCCAGCTCTGCCTGTCGGTGGCGTGGTGATTGCACGCTGGGCTGCGAACTGGAGGTTCAGCAATTCAAATCCCAAAGCCACTTCCAGGGAGAAAGGTGGGGCTTTCTACTCCATTATCATTTAGTTTCAGAAACTCACAGGGACAGTTCTACCCTGTCTGATAGTGTCACTCTGAGTGGGCATTGACTCTATGGCAGTGAGTTTGGTTTGGTTTGGGCGTGTTGGGAGGGCCTAGGGCAGGGGTGGGGAATGTTTTTCTGTCAATGGCCATTTGAATATTTACAACATCATTCAAGGGTCATGCAAAATTATCAACTTAAAATTTAGCATATTATATTTGGTCAGACAATCAATTAACTCACCCCTAACGTGATGACTGATAATAACACCTCAGGAACAATTAGCACCTTGATCTTACTTTCTCAAATACCATTCTTCAACTGAAAAACACTGGAATTCCTGGGGAAAATGGCTTGGCTCTAGGGTTGTGACAGAGAACATATAAGCCAAGCAAGAGGATTTTTTTTTTTTTTTTTTTGGTCAGAAAGCAAGAAAATACTCCAGGAATGATGTAATCATGCAAATACCTCATGAGACATTTTACAAAGAACTGGTCAGTTCTGGGACAAATTGAACAACAAATAAGATAATGAGAGAAAAGTTTTATTATCCATGGAATGAAATGAGAATCCTTGGGTCCCTACTAGTGTGTGTGTGTATAGTGTATATATGTACATGTGTATGTATATACACATCCTATGTGTGTATGTATATGTGTGGGGGGGCACTTTTGACTAAGAGTCGGTCTGCTAACCACAAGGTTGGTGCTTCAAACCCACTAGCTGCTCTTCAGGAGATTGCTGAAGAAAACATCTGCTCCCACAAAAATGTACAGCCTCAGAAAATTTATATAAGGTAGCTATGAGTCAGAACCAACTCAATGTCAGTGAGTGTACACACACACACACACACACACACACACACGCTTAAATGATTTCTTGTGTAGTTAAAGTTTACACAGCAAATTAGCTTTTCATTAAATTGTTCCAGGACAATAAATGAACACCCTGGGTTTCTGGATTCTTCCTTTCCATTCATCTAGATCCCCGCCCCCCCCTACCTTCTCATTTTGTGGACAGATATTGCCCTTTGGGCTTCTTATAGTTGATTGCTCTATGGAGCACATTCCTCCTGGGGGCTGTTGTTTATTTTATGAGGCTGTTAATAATGCCATCCATGAGATGCAGTATCACCATCCTCGATCCTGGCCACACTTCTTCCAAGACAGATTTGTTTGCTCTTCTGCTTCTCCAAACTCACACGTTAATTCTGACTCCTAGCGGCCCTACAGACAGGACAGAACTGCTCCTGTGAGTTTCTGAGCCTCACTCTTTATTGAAGCAGAAAGCTTCATGTGTCTCCTGGGGAGCATTCATTCATTCTCATCTTCCAATTCATTGTCCTTCTTTCATATTCATATGAGACGATTGCACCTTAAACCTCAAACGGACATATTTTCTTTCTTTATTAACCCCAAGTATACTGCTGTTGAGTCATTTTCCAATACTGCTAGTGACTTTGCTTCTCTTTCTCGATATCTTCCTTCTGCTTGTTCTCTAGCACTTCACTCCCCACCTGACCAGTCAAACACCTTGAGCCGGCAGGCTCGGGCATTTGGGGGCGGGGGCGGGGTGGGGGTAGGGGTGGGATCCAGGGGTGTAATAGGGAGATGATGTCAAGGAGTCCAGGAAGAAAAAGAATGTTTGGAAACTGATTATGGTAGCAATTGAACAGTTCTGCTCAACATGATTGAACAATGGAACGAATATGTATTAACTGCCAATTAATAATAAAAGTTTAAAAGAGATGTTATATTCTTGAACTGTTAAAAAATGACTAAGTCATAGATGTGTAACACTTAGAAGGATGTCAAAGATGGGGGGAGGGTTAAGCTATAAACAAGAAGAGTGACTGAAACTCTGAAGTCCAAGGACAATGAGCCAGAATTACTGCTAGCCCCTGCCACTAAAAAGGTAACAAATCCAGTGGCGCTATAACCAAAAACAAACGGACAGGGACAGGACAGGGGCTTCTGCCCCACCTGCGAAGGGAACGAACAAAGGACCCAGGGAAGCAAGGAATGAACAACGGAGCCTATGAGAAATGGCTTGGTAAACACCTTAACTTTGAAGCCAGGCCCTCGTGAAAATCCCGACATAGGCTTGCACATGAAGATTATTCTGAGACATGCTAGCCCAGAGCCGCCGCCTTGATACATTTGAAGGAAATGATGTATGAGACCCAGGACTGATTTAGGAACTATTAGAAAGTTGCTTGGCCATCTGTAAAGCAGTCACCCTCTTCCATTTGAAAGTGCCATTTAAAAAACTAAGTGAAGTAAGTCAGGCACAAATGGACAAGTACAACATGAGTCCACTGAGGTAAGCGATAAAAAAAAAAATGCAAAAGGGGTATAGGGAAAAAGCTACTATATACAAACATTCTTGAGGTAAGGACCAGGTAATATGGAAGGGACCAGATCAAATGCAGGGATGCACATGGTAGACAACAGGGGAGGAGGTGGGGAAAGGGAACAAAAAAAAAATGATGAAAACAAGGAAGAAATGGCTAGTGGGGGCACAGGGCGCTAACCCATCCAAGGGGAGGGTATTGTTTAAATCTCCACAGGAAAAGAGGGACCAAACTTCAACCCAGTGCTCCAAGGTGTGAAGACAACATGCCGGCGCGGAGTAGGGAATCAGTGGAGAGGTCTAGGGGGCTGGTCCCAGCCCCAAATACTAAGTGGATGCCTGCCCCTCCCCTGAGAAGAATGTATCTCAAAGGATGGCACTGAATCTGCAGCTTCGGGAGAAGGATATATCTGACCAGAGCACACAGGAGCAGATGACGAGGGAGGAGGAGAGACTGGAGCACATCCTGGCCCACTAGGCCAAATAGAGCAGCCAGTCCACAGAGAGGACCACATGGCCAGCCCCACTATGAGACGAGATGCCCCTCACTGGCCCATGGCCCTGCGGGGGACAACACCAGGGACACAGTGTGGGAATTGCGCCTGATCTGACCCCGCCATGCCGAGGCAAGGCACTGGGGGGTGGGGTGGGGCGGGGAGGGTGCAGCGGAACAGCAGGGGAGGGGAGTAGAAAGATCCCCAGGGAATGATGAGGGTGGACATTGGAGACAGGGCATGGTGCCCCAACAGGCTAGACTGGAAAACACACACACACACAAAAAAAACAGAAGCATTCCCCTTGACAACTTACATGAAGGTATGCATATGATAAATGAATAAAAATGAACATTTAAAAAACAAGAATGTAATATTCAAATATTTCTATATGATTATGAGTACTGGGCAGGCATCCTGAGAAATAAAAGGTTAAATAGTGTTTAAAACTAGAGACTTTAGGCGTTTCTGGAAGCCGGCAGCCGCAGCAGCCGTCAGACCGGTGCCGGACCATTAGACACGCACCCTCCGGTGGTCCCCAGTGCCTGGCCCTTCCCGCTCTCCGCGGGGAAGACATGGCCTTGCTGTGCTACAACTGCAGCTGTGGCCAACGCTTTGACCCGGAGACCAACGCTGACGATGCTTGCATATACCACCCAGGTGTTCCAGTGTTTCATGATGCCTTAAAGGGGTGGTCTTGCTGTAAGAGAAGAACGACAGATTTTTCTGATTTCTTGAGCATTGTAGGCTGTACAAAAGGCAGGCATAATAGTGAGAAGCCACCCGAGCCAGGCAAACCTTAAGTCAAGACTACGGAGAAGGAACTATCTGAATTGAAGCCCAAATTTCAGGAACGCATCATTCAAGCTCCTAAGCCAGGAGAAGCAATTAAAAGGCCAAGCCCACATGAGCCCATGACAAGTTTGGAATTAAAAATACCTGCTTCCTTTAAACAAGCACTTGCTAAACTTAAGCTGTCATCAGGAAAAGGAGAAGATAAGCAGGAAGAAAAAAGTGATAAAATTAAGATTGGGACCTCATGTAAAAATGGAGGGTGTTCAGAGACTTATCAGGGCTTAGAAAGTCTAGAAGAAGTCTGTGTACATCATTCTGGAGTACCTATTTTCCATGAAGGGATGAAATACTGCAGCTGTGGTAGGAAAAAGATTTCTGACTTTAACACATTTTTAGCCCAAGAAGGCTGTACTACAGGGAAACACATGTGGACTAAAAAAGATGCTGGGGGGAAAGTTGTTCCATGTAGGCATGACTGGCATCAGACGGGAGGTGAAGTCACCATTTCAATCTATGCTAAAAATTCACTTCCAGAACGTAGTCGCGTAGAAGCAAATAGTACATTGTTAAACGTTCTCATTGCATTTGAAGGAGAGAAGGAATTCCATCAAAATGTGAAACTATGGGGCGTGACTGACGTAAAGCGAAGCTATGTAACTGCAACAAAAATTGAGATCACTGTGAGAAAAGCTGAACCTATGCAGTGGGCAAGCCTCGAACTACCTGCAGCTAAAAAGCCAGAAAAACAAGAAGAAGCTATAACAGATTGCGTGGAGGGGAGTAGGGGTGAACAATAACTAACTATTACCTATTTCAGAATTCCACGATGATGTGTTCTGACAGGAAGGCTTGCTGCTGTAATCTTATTTGTTTTGTTCAAAGGCTGGTAGTTCAGGGTCAACAAAAGTAGGTTCTTAAAACCCAAAGTCATTATCTTTTCGTGTTCCCCAGCATCATCTTTTTTGAGCTACATGAGGCTAATTGTTTATTTCTCTTCAGTGAGAAAACCATAGAATGTCCTATACTTGAAGAAGCTAGAAAACAGCTAAGAAACAGTTATAGTATTTGTTAGTATAAGCAAAGAAAGATTAAACATTTACTTTTGTTCACATCTATTTCTATTCTCAAAATTAGTAAATCAAGATAAAAAATTTTTTTATCTGTTCTTCATGGGTTTTGATTCTATGATACTTGAAAATCTTTAAGGAAGAAATAAAGCTCTGTATTGTTTTTTCCCACTTGGGACAGTTACATATTCTAAGAAGATGCTAAAGTGGTATAATAAATAATTAAAAGAAATATATGCATTGGTTGAAATAGGAATTAATTTGCAACTGGTAACTACATCAATAAACCCATATTACTTGCCAGGCAGTATAAGAGAATAGAACATTGTAAATCTGAACATAGAGGCATCAATTTAGTTAAAAAGTCAGCAGTTTAAAAAACTGAGCAATAATGTAAACATTTTTTTCCAGATTATTTAACTGTTTTTGTATGGTATGACTAAATTATACCTGATTTACAACCTATATCCTCTTGATACCTTAAATTAGTTACATATTAAAAAGTTATATTTGGCCTCACTGATGAAACCTGTATAAAATTAGACTTTTAAAAGCTTGTGGAAATATAGTAGCATCTTGGAAAATTAAATGGATTCCTGGTGGTGTAGTGGTTAAGCATTGGGCTGTGATCCACATGGTCAGCAGTTCAAAACCACCAGAAGCTCCTCAGGAGAAAGACTGGGCTTTCTCCAGTTGCAGCCTGGGAAATCCACAGGGTATTGCTATGAGTCAACAAAGACTCCATGACAGTGAGTATTATAAAATTAAGTATATAAGCTTTGCTTTATAGCCACAATATTGTTAGAAAAAGAATTTAACTCATTTGTAGTCCTTGTAGGATTTCCTAAAAAAAAAAAAAGTGGACAATTTCAAAGTGATACTGTGTTGAATATAATATTTAGGTTAAATCTGGGAATCGCAGAATTATATTATTTAAGCTTATTGAACCCACTAAGAGACGGGTTAATTTTTGAAGCAGTAATAACTAAAAAAGAAAATTTAACTTTTATAAACACTGTAAATGTCAGAAATTAATTTTGTGCATGAATTATGCTTATTTCGATTAAAAGTATCCCTCAGTTCCCATGATTATCTTTCTTTGGAATTAATGGAATTCTGGCAATAAATTTTTGGGGGTGCAAAAAAAAAAAGACGAGAGACTTTACACGATGAAGGGAAAATGATGTTAAAGCCGATGTCATCTTGCTGCCGTGTCGGTGTTGCGTCCACTCCACATCACACTGACGCGCTCTACAACAGTGACCCTCGGCCAGCTTTGAGCCATCCCCCAAATTGTTCTGTTTGAGACCATTGTTGCAGCCACTGTCCACCCTTCTTGTTGATGATCGGCCTCTTGTTTTCAATGGCCCCCTACTTTTCCAAGCACGAGGTTCTTCTGTAGGAACCGTCACTCCTGATGACATGCCCCAAATTCATGACACAAAATCTCCCCCTCTTCTCTTTTTAAGGAGTATTGTGGTTCTCCTTCTACCAAAACGAAGATGTTCATTATTTGAGTATATTCATAATTCAAATGCACCCATTCTCCTTTTGTCTTCTTTATTCTTTGTTCAGTATTTACATGCATCTGAGGGGATTGAAAATGCAGTGGTTTGGCTCAAATCCACCTTCAGCCTCAAAGTGATGTCTTGGTTCTTTAGCACTTCAAGGAGCTGTTGTGCATCTGATTTGCCCACTGCACCACATCAGGTGAGTTCCTGACTGCTGCTTCCATGAGGACTCACGGATTGCGAGTCCACGTCAAATGAGGTCCTTGGCCACTTCATTGTTTTCCATTACCGTGTCACTATTTATTGGCTCAGTTGTGAGGATTTCTATTTTATTTACAATGATTTGTAATTCATACTGAAGGATGTATTCTTTGATATTCACTTTGGGCATTCAACAATCAAGCTTTTGTGATCTGCATATCACAGATTGTTAATGAGCTTTTATCTAATCCTGATGCCACATTCTTCTTCACAGAGTCCAGTTCTCCGATTATTTGCCTTGGCATATGCCTTGAATAAGTATGGCGAAAAGATACAACTCTGACACCCATCTTTCCTGATTTTGAGCACACAGTGTTCTGTTTGAATGTTGGCCTCTTGATCTGTGTATAGGTTCTGCATGAACAAAGTTAAGTGCTCTGGAATTTCCATTCTTCTCAATGCTATTCATAATTTATTGTTATCCATATGTTTGAATGTCTTTTATCCTCAATAAAGCACAAGTAAACATCTTTATGGTATTCTTTGCTTTTAACCAAGATCAATCTAACACCGACAGTGATATCCCTTCTTTGACATCCTCTTCTGAATCTGACTTGAATTTTGGTATTTTCTGCAGATGTAGTACTGCAACCATTTAAAAACTGGCTTTAGTAAGTTAGTGCCTAAAAGCAAAGGCATCCCTGACAGATGCCTGGTTTCACCATAAGCCTAAAAATAGTCTAAATACCATCTCGACTATCCCACATTTACTTCTGACTGCCAAGCTGCCAAGATGAAATCCTAAGGAAACAGGAAAGGGCAGTAGCCCTGAACAATCTCCTTGGTAATCCAGGAAGACAGGGAGGAGTAGGTGACTTATGGGAAAGACAGATGAAGGAGGAACATCCATATTGAACAGAGAAATAGGTGAAGTGGGAACAGACACAGAAGGATAAGGGTAGGCAGAAAGAAGTCCCCCCTCAAGACCGAGATATGCAAACAGAAGGCCATCTTCTATGTCTCCCCCAATTCTGATGGATCAACAAAAGTCCCCTCCCGATTGTCTTTATCATAAATCCTTTGAAAAAAAATGCAGACGTTACTGTTTATGTTTCTCTCATCTGTTGTAAGAAGCAAACCGCTATCAACTCTACATAAAAAGAGCAAATTGAATACAGCTGTTGGGATTCAGTCAGATATAGCTTTAATGGTGTGACAGTCTGTCTCCTATCTCCTTTCTCTTGGGCCCATATGACAAATAGAATTCTGCTTTTCCTCACTGCTATAAACTTGTGATGATTTCTTCCTAGGGTCTTAGTAAATTTGACTTGCCTTTGATATTAATGAACTTGTTAGATAATGCCCTCATTCTGTTGGTTCATCTCTCTCTGGAATGGGCACACATAGGATTTTTTCCAGCATGTTCACCTTCAGGTTTTCTGAGACGTTTCCACTAGAGATTCCATGATTCCTGAAGCTTGTTTTCTGCCAATGCTTTCAGTACAGTTTAGAACTCGTCATTCAATGCCATCTGTTCTTGATGGTCTGCTACCTTCTGAAATGTTTGAACGTCTACTAATTCTTTTTGGTTCAATTACCTTGTGGGTTTATTCTCTCCCTTTTTGATGCTTCCTACATAGCTCTATTTTTTGCCTATACAACCTTTCAATACTGTAACTCAAGGCTTGAATTTTTCTTCACTTTGAGAAATAAATGCCGGGCCAGTTCTTCCCTTAGGGTGTTCTTACTCCAGGTCTTTGCCCATTTCATTATAATACTTTATTTTGTCATTATTTCCCATAGAAATATTATTTTTTTATGTAGTTTAGGGTTTTTGTTTGTTTATTTTGTTTTTAAAGGAACAACAGTGTAAACAGTCTCTTGGAGATGACTATAGTTCCAAGACAGGACAAAAAGGAAGGAATTGAAGTCTCTCGTGTATTTTATTTTGTTTGTTTATTTTCTAACCTTTAAAAATAAAATTCAACTACATGAAAATTAAGGACCATATGCTTGACATCTGTAAATAATAAAAACATACTTGCATACCAGGGCATCAATAATTTGGCACATCTGGTAGGTAAGTGTTTGTTGATCTTAAATATTCCATATCAATTTTCAGTAGCTTTATTGAGCAATATTTCACATATTGTAAAAAATACCCATTAAAAGTATTTTCTTTTTATAAATCATTTTATTGAGGGTTTTACTACTCATAAAAATCCATATATCATTGTACCAAACACATTTGTACATATGTTGACATCATTTTCAACATCATCATTTTCAAAACATTTTCTTTCTACTTGAACCCTTGGTATCAGCTCCATTTTTTTCCCTTCCCCCACCTTCCCACCCTTGTGAATTCTTGATAAATTATTATTATTTTCATATCTTATACCACCCACTGTCTCCTTTTACCACCCATGTTTCTGTTATTCATCCCCCTCGGGTTGGTGGTGGTGGTGGGGTGTTATATGTTGATCATTGCAATCTGTTCCCCCTTTCTCCCACTTCTCCCCCCACCTTTTCCCTATCCTCATGGTATCACTATTCCCGTTACTGTTCCTGAGGGGTTTATCTGTCCTGGACTCCATGTGTTGAGAGCACTTAGTGCACCAGGGTGCATGCTCTGGTCTAGCTGGATTTGTAAGGTAGAATTGGGGTCATGACAGTGGACGGGAGGAAGCATTAACGAACTAGAGGAATGTTGTGTGTTTCATTGGTGCAATACTGCAACTTGGGTGGCTCCTCCTTTCCTTGTGACTCTTCTGTGAGGGGATGTCCACTTAGCTACAGATGGGCTTTGATTCTCCACTCTTAGCCCCTTCATTTACATTGATATGATTGTTTTGGGTCTTTTGATGCCTGGTGCCTGATACCTGATCCCATCGACACCTCGTGATCACACAGGCTGGTGTTCTTCTTCCATGTGGGCTTTTTTGCTTCCCTGCTAGATGGCCGCTTATTTAACTTCAAACCTTTAAGACCCCAGACTGTATATCTTAATATCCAGGC